TCACTGAGTTGGCGATCCTGTACTCGAAGTACAAGCCGTCGAAAATGCGCGAACACTTGGACCTGTTCTGGTCGCGGGTGAACATACCGAAGGTGTTGAGGGCGGCCGAGTCGGCCCACCTCTGGGCCGAGCTGGTGTTCCTCTACGACAAGTACGAGGAGTTCGATAACGCGATTATAACAATGATGAATCACCCGACGGAGGCGTGGCGTGAGGGCCACTTCAAGGACATGATCACCAAAGTGGCGAATGTCGAGCTCTACTACCGGGCCATTCAGTTCTATTTGGACCACAAGCCGATGCTGTTGAACGACCTGTTGCTGGTGTTGGCGCCCCGTATGGATCACACCCGCTCTGTCAACTTCTTCGCGAAGGTATGGATTATAATAGGGTTTATGAGCTATAAATTGATGGCTAATTATTGTGTTTTTATTGACAGACCAATCACTTACCACTGGTGAAGGCATACCTGCGTTCAGTGCAAAGTTTGAACAACAAAGCGATTAATGAGGCGCTGAATGATCTGCTGATCGAAGAGGAGGACTACCAGGGATTGAGGACATCGATTGACGCCTTCGACAACTTCGACACCATTGCGTTGGCGCAGAGGCTCGAGAAGCACGAGTTGATTGAGTTCCGGCGTATCGCCGCTTACCTCTACAAAGGCAACAACCGGTGGAAACAGTCGGTCGAACTGTGCAAAAAGGACGGCCTATACAAGGACTGCATGGAGTACGCGGCCGAATCGAAACAGGCGGACGTGGCCGAGGATCTGTTGCTGTGGTTCCTGGAGAAGCGCAACTTCACGTGCTTTTCGGCGGTACTGTTCCAGTGCTACGATCTGATCCACGCGGATGTGGTGCTGGAGCTCGCGTGGAGGCACGACATCATGCAATTCGCGATGCCGTACTTCATTCAGATCACCAGAGAGTACATCACGAAAGTGGACGAACTCAAGGAAGTGGTGGACACCAAACTGGAGGAGTCGGGCTCCGAGCAGAAGTCCCTCGTCTACGGTCAGT